TCAAACCAGTTAAAAAATATGTAGGTGGCGCCCTCTACAAGTAGGAGTCCTGCTAACATCAAAATCAAACTTCGAGCAGCATCGAATTTCGTGGCGGTGCAGAGCGCCGACTTCGTTTCACGAACACTCGATCTCTGCGTGTCGTTATTTTATATCTGTTATTTTTTAAAAGCAGTAACGGTTGCGTTATGTTATTTCTAAATAATTGTTATAAAATAACAGATAGTTAAATAACAACCCATCACTATTCTACACCCTGTATTTCCGAAACTAAGCCCCATTTTAGGACATACATTTATACGAACTTTTTCACTTATTTTTATCTGCAGAATATGCTGCCGCAGTTTCCGGAATACAATTCGGACCACCCTGTATATTATAGATAGATTATTTTACTCTATAATATGAGAAACAATTCGCAAGTGCACACTGCATGTTGGAAAGCAGTTAAAAAAATATTTTGAAACAGGAACAAGGGTTAAATTATAGGAAAATGCCATGTGATCATTTATTTCAGTACTATTAGTAAGATGATAAATAATAATAGTATTTTGTTAATTATGTCGCATTACAGTTGGGTGTTACTTACATTTAGTTGGTGTTATCATATTTTAGTACTAGTAAGTCCATATGAATACTTTCGATTATACTTTTTAACTGTGCCTTAAATTAAAATTGCAACCTAATACCGTATGATCGAAAAAAAATGGCGTCCAGTTGGCTGGGAAATGACGATCGATGACATTTCCCATATAAATTTACATATAAAATGACAGCGATCTTCATTTCCCAGCCAACTGGACGCCGTTTTTTCTCGATCATACGGTACAATATTTGCTAAACAAACCACAAAAATGGGAGTTTAAGTTACATTCTACTTAATTTTTTGATTTTGTAGTGATATGTAGCTAAATTAAACAGAATTAATCAGCAGGATCTAAAAAAACAGAATTCCCAACTGTACACTACTTGTTGATCTACCGCCAATAAAGTTTAATATGCAGGGTGTCCAGGCTGAGCGAGCATTAGAAATTTATAGAGAATTATAATATCTAGATCGGAGATTTTTTACACATAACTGTTTCACAATGATATCTTTCGATTAAAAATATTTTCAATACTTCCGAAAATACAAGAAGTTGACAGCAACTTTTTTATTTTAAATGGATTTAATTATATATTTAAATTATCTGTAAAATTATAATATATTTAAATTATCTGTAAAATTTTATGAATTTTGATATCAAGCACTCTCAAAATTCATAAAATTTTACAGAGAATTCAATTTTGTAATAAAAAATGGGGGTACCCATTTAAAATAAGAAAGCTATTAACTTCCGGTATTTTCGGATGTGCCGCCATATTGAAAGTATTTTTAATCAATAGATCTGATTGTGAAACAATAGTGTGCAAAAAATCTCCCATCTAGATTGTGTAGTTCTATATAAACTTCTAAGCACGCTCAGCTTAGGACACCCTGTATAACTATTTATCCATATATACAGGGTGTCCCACTTAAGATGGATACATGCCAATATCTTGGTTGTTTGTTGAGCAATCTTTTTCATTTTTGGCAGGAGGCTGTATGGCTATAAGACGTACATTTTGCACAGGGTAAGAAATGCGATACCTCATAGACGTACGTTTTAATGGGGTTTGATATTTTTAGAGTCAAGAGTAAACTATCCTTAGGACAGTATTTATTTCAAATCTGATAAATTATATTGAGTCATCCTTACCTAAGATACTTAATTTCTAATTTTGATAAATATTGATACAGGGTGTGTCATTAAAATAAGACATTTTTATTTTTATTATTATTTTTTTAAGTACTTACGACGCCATGCCACTGGATAAACAACAGGTTTATTATCAATAACCAATTACCAATGAATAATTTTTGTGCATTGTGAACTTAATTAATAAATAAATATATAGTTCGTATTACACACAGAACATTGTGTATAGATAGAAAAATAGAGATTCTTTATTGTTCAAAATATTGCAAATATAATCTAGAACAACGCCATGTTTTATATAGAAAAAATTACAATAGTAACAAAAAAAAACAATAAATAATCCCAAAATTAAAATTTAGAAATTACGTAACTAAAATGGTTACAATAAAAAAAATGGTAAATGGTTAAATGTTACATTGGTGAAACATCTAGACCCTTAAATGTTAGAATTAAAGAACATAAAGATTATTTAAGAAAGGAAGATTTTCACAAATCTAAGATTTGTCAGCATGGGACACAGGGCACAGAATAAATTTTAATAACGCCAAAATTATAATGAAAGAAGCGATAGCCTCTAAAAGAAAAATAAAAGAGGCTTTTTTAATTCAATCTAATAAAAATAAATGTATTGCTCATGCATCTGTAGATGTTAGTAATGTATGGCAATCGCTTCTTTGATTTTAAAGAACATAACATAAATAAACATAACATACGTAAAATTTAAAAATAATCATACAGAAAGTTTGGGGCTTTTTGGTTTTACCTTATTAAGTAATTGTTATCAGGTAGTAATTGTTAATTTTGAAGTTTAACTTGATATATAATGTCATTTTAAGAGAACGTCAACGGTTTCTTGTAGACGTATCTGTTTTAAAAAGTAAAGTGTTCTCGAATAGTTGAATTTAAATATTTTAAATAGTTTTTTTCTTTATTCTTTGTATTTTTTTGCTTCCGACGACGGAAAGAGATAACTTTCCGAAACGTTAAGCATTTTTTTCTTTGCTAGGCAAATTTGTATTACTGTAAACATAACTTCTAACAAGCAGCGTCCGTTTAGGTTTAACGCCAGAAGTGTTTACAAAAAATAACTATTTTATTTTGTAGATTTTCTTGCAGTGCAGTGGCGAAATACCCATAAAGGATTTTTTTGGAGAGATGAATCCGCCACATAGGTATAGACATTTTTTAAAATGGTTTTAAAATTGAAAATATATAACAATTATAATAAATAATTACCCATAATAATACACCTTAAATAACTAATAAATAAATAATACACCTCAAAGAAAAAAATCATCAACAGAACAATCTTGACAAATTAAAAAATTTTAATTTGTCCACCACAATATTTAATTTAAAATATTAGATTGTATTTTTATTTTCGGATAGTTCGATTGTGCTTTTTCACTTGAATGTTCACTCAATGTATTAATGCTTGAAAATTCAGTACCAATATCAAATGGTTCTGGACTAAAATCATTTGATTCAGAATTGGGTTTATTACAATATACAGGGTTGTTCACCACATACGACACGGAGTATTGTAGCTAAACGGTTAGATTTTTACAAATTGTAAGTTTTGGGTTCGTTGAAGGACTATTAGGGCTACAATTTAAAAATAATTTTACAAGATACACAGTGTCCCAAATAAATTAAAAATATTAGTTGTATTTTTTTAAATGGAACACCCTGTATATTATTTTATTTTTACATTCTACGATTGAAATAAAGGTAAATTTTATTAAGGTTTATCATGCTTAAACCTTATCGTTTTTGAAATATTTTCAATTTTATGAAATTGCAGTAAAAATTTTAAGACTTCATTTCTCCAAGGGTATCGAAATTTTTAATACTAAATATTTACTGAAGTTTATTTATTGATCAGATATTGTGTTGCAATAATAAACAAAATTCTACCTTATACAGAGTATCTAAAAATTTGTATTAAATAATTACTAGCTTTAAACGGCAATAACTTGTTTAATTTAAATGGAACACCCTGTATATTTTACGAGAATCAAACACAATTTAATTGTCTATCAAATTGTATTATACCATTTTTACCTATCTCTTTGAGTTTTCAAAACAAAGGAATTTTCTAATAATTTAGACCTTATCACTAAACCCATGGAATTTTGACATTTTAGATTAGTTTTAAAGATGTAACTAATTTTCAAAAAGCACAGATACTAATATTGTCGATATAGTTCGCTTATTTCATTAAAAGATAAAAAAACTCAATATGATTCCAGTATTCAAACTACATTAATTGACTATTTACGTTGATTAATAATAATTGCTCCAAATACTAAAAAACTGAATTTTGTATGTGTATTAGACAGTGTGGTAAAAAATAACACCTTATAAATTATATTTCATTTTTTGACGAATGCTTATTTATAACAAGAGAGACGTTCATTTTCATAACTTATTATTGTATAGATTTCTGAGTCAAATCCACATTTCTTTAGAATGATTTATTAATCAAAACAATTAAGTATGTAATTAACTAATTTTTGGGCGGAAATAATGGTATATTCGTTTACAAAGATTTAAATAGTTTTCTTTTTGTAAACAAATTAGCTTGGTTTGGCAATATTATTATTTTTACTACCTGTACACTTTGTACATATGTTGCTTTAAAAAAATCTAAAATATCATTATTCCATAGGTATAGTGATAAGTGAGTTCTAAATTATAATAAAATGCATTTTCTACGAAAACTTGAAGATATAGGTAAAAAATGCTATAATACAATTTTGATAGACAATTAAATTGTGCATCTGATTGGCGTAAAATATACAGGGTGTTCCATTTAAATTAAACAAGTTATTGGCGTTTAAAGCTAGTAATTATTTAATATAAATTTTTAGACACTCTGAGTAAGGTAGGATAATTTTTATTATTACAACACAATATCTGATCAATAAATAATCTTCAGTAAATATTTAGTATTAAAACCTTTAATACCCTTGGAGAAATGAAACCTTAAATTTTTTACTGCAATTTCACAAAATTGAAAATATTTCAAAAACGGTAAGGTTTAAGTGTGATAAACCTTAATCAAATTGACCTTTATTTCAATCGTAGAATCTAAAAATGGAATAATAATATATAATCCGTTTAAAAAAATACAACTATAATATTTTTTACTTATTTGGGACACTCTGTATCTTGTAAAAGTATTTTTAAATTGTAGCTCTAATAGTCCTTCAACGAACCCAAAATTTACAATTTGTAAAAATCTAATCGTTTAGCTACAATACTCCGTGTCGTATGTGGTGAACAACCCTGTATAGCACCATTATGAAATTACTTTACTGTATCAAATCTGATATAATTTGAATGATTATTGTCAAAATACATTTCAGGACGTTGACTTGATTGATTACTTTAATTTCCAAGCGCTTTCTCAGTAATATTTTGTACAGTGTCTTCAGAGTAATAGTTGTTTCAACGTTATCACTGATATAATAAAGTTGAGTTTTCAAAATTAGAATAATTTAATAATTGAGAAAATGTTTATCTATATAATATGTAATTCTAAAATAAAAAAAACACAGCCCAATTAAATTAGTAAATTGCTGTATACAGATATGGAAATGAATACCTAGCTGTTATGAAACTGAAATAAATCTAAATTTGGCAAGACCAGATTCAAAGAGTTATTTGCTATATCAGCCTCTGGTTCTGTAATTTTTTTAAATCTTTCATTAACAAATTGGTCTACATTCATAACATCATCAGAACTACTTGAATTATCTAAAATAGGATTAGAAACTACAGACACAGGTAACATAAAATCATCTGCCGAATTATGTACTGAAGATATAACTGAATTCTCAGAAAGGAAATCTGGATTAATAGAGTTTTTATTAGGTTGCATTTTACTACTGCTTAAAGATTTCTGAACAAATTTTGAATTTGGTGGACAAATTAAAATATTAGATTGTATTTTTATTTTTGGATAGTTCGATTGTGCTTTTTCACTTGAATGTTCACTCAATGTATTAATGGTTGAAAATTCTGTACCAATATCAAATGGTTCTGGACTAAAATTATTTGATTCAGAATTGGGATTATTACAATATAAATCACCATTTTGAAATGACTTATCTATATCAAATCTGTTATAATTTGAATGATTATTGTCAAAATAAATTTCAGGACACTGACTTGATTGGTTACTTTGATTTCCCAGCTCTTTCTCAGTAATATTTTGTCCAGTATCTTGAGTATAATAGTTGTTTTGAAAATGACTATCTTCAGCAGTCATGCGATTATTGTCATTTATTTGTATTGCTTTAGCAGCTTTAATACCATCCTGATTTACTGCAGGTACAACTTTATTTAATTGTTCTGTAGTATTATTACCTTTCCCACATTTGCAGTTTGTTTCTGAATTTCTATCAACAAATGTATCATCATTTGCAAACTTTAAAGAGCTTAGAAAATCATTATTGCTTATCAATTTCAATACTGTTACATCTCTATATAAATTACTATCATCAAAATAATAATTACCTGGCACTAATCCTATAGCATTCCCTAATACTTTATCAACCGATACTTCACTTGTAACATTCCCAACCTTCTTAAACAAAGCATTAGCGAGGAGCAACAAATTATGTAATACATTTGATATCTCAGCACAGAACTTTCTTCCCCGTTCAGAAGAAGAAGTTTTTTGAGTTAAACTAACTAAATAATTCCAAACTTCAAAATGTTTCTCCTCGTCTTTCTGTAATGGACCGTGTGAGGGGTTCTTTTTTAAATGCTCTAAAATTTTATTTCTTCCTAGGTACGCCTTCTTACATCCTGGACACCTATATTGTGCAGATATTTTACGTTTATTCTGTTGAAGAGACACATGCTCTATGATGGGTTGCTTATCAATATCCTCATGAGATTTTTCGGTATACTGAGCAAAATCACATGTTTTAATTTCTTCATTTCCATTGGTGGTTTGATCATCATTTATTTCAATTTTTTTAAATCCCTAAAAAATATAAAGAACATCAATATAAAAATATTATTAATAGCTAAATTAATAAAGTGTCTGCTGTTCAAAGATTATAAATAAAAAGAATTTATACATAATTAATAAACAGCACCAGTCTAATGCGGGCGCATAAGTACAGTAACATTTTCGTGTAAAAAATGTCTATACCTATGTGGCGGATTCATCTCGCCAAAAAAGTCCTATGTGTATTTCGACACTGTAAGAAAATATACAAAATAAAATAGTGTTATTTTTTGTAAACAGTGGTGCGTTAATCCAACGGAGACTACAGAAAGTTTGAAGCTTTTTAACTTCTCTCATTTTTGCTTCTCGACTTCCACAGATTTCTGTCTGTCCAGTCTTCTTCCTAGAGGCCCCTAGAATTCATAGCGTCAACTACGCCCTGCTTCCATCTTCGAGGTGGTCTTGCACGTTTCCGCCTTTCGCTTGGTGTTGAATGAATGAATGAATTCTTTTCGGCCATCGGTTATCATCCATTCGTTGGAGGTGTCCGTACCAACTTAGTATTTTGCCGTCAATGGCGTCGAGAATAGTTTCTTTTTCTCCTATAATTTCTCGTATTCTTTGATTTGAGATGTGTTCCAGTCTTGAAATGCGACAACTTCTTCGCCAAAAATCCATTTCAAGAGACAGCAACTTATTTTTCTCTACTTTGTTTAGCTCCCACATTTCAGCGCGATAAGTGGTAATGCTCTCTACAATGGCTTTATAAAGTAGAATTTTTGTTTTTTGGGAAATTTTGTCACTCCACGAGTTAAGTTGACCGATAACTCTTTTTCCTTGACCAACTTTATTTGCAATATCTTGAGTGCTTTTTCCATTTGTTGTAAAAGTGACGCCCAAGTATTTAAATGTACAGACATTTTTAATTGTGCCGATTCCTACATCCAAATCCTCACGTTCGTCATCACCCACTACCATGTACTCCGTCTTCTTTGTGTTTATTGTTAGACCCCATTTCGAATATTCCTCATGCAGTTTTCTAAACATATAACTGGAGTCGTCTCTGTCTCCCGCTATCAAGACCTGGTCGTCGGCAAAGAGTAAGGTATATAAAGTGTCTTTTCCTACTGGGATTCCTATTCCACGGCATTTCATCTTCCAACACTTCAGTACTTCCTCCAAATATACTTTAAATAAAGTTGGTGCTAATGAACACCCTTGTCTTATGCCCTTATTCACAAGAAATTCTTGGGAAATATTGTTTCCAAGTTTAACTGTGCTACCGCAACCCTCGTATAATTTTCTTGTTGCTTGGACATACCAACTACTGATACCAAAATTTGGCATTGACACACACAACTTACTCAGTGGGACTGTATCGTATGCCTTCTGTAGATCAATAAATGTCAAGTGGACCGTCCTTCCCCTTTCTAGCCTTTTTTCGATTAGATGCTTAAGAATGAAAATGCCATCAGTACATGAGTGTCCCGGTCTAAAACCATTTTGCCCTTCCGATTCCGTTATTTGTGCTTCTATCTTATGTTTTAGTACTTTGCCATAGAGTCGAGCAACAGTACAAATGACACTAATTCCTCTATAATTTTCACAGTCGCATCGGCTCCCTTTCTTAAATATGGACGTAATAATCGCTTTTTTCCATCCTTTGGGCGGGTCTTCTCCATTTAAACATCTACTAAAAATATCTGCCAGAATTTCCAAAACTGCTGAGGGGGCTTAAAAAAGTTCTACTGAAACATTTCCCAAACCTGGGGCTTTGCCATTTTTCATTTGTTGGAGGGCTTTATTTACATCTGCAGAGCTTATTAGTGTTGGATGCTCAGGTTCGGTTGGATTAACAGGATGACTTTCATGATCTTGTATAAATTCGGTTCTATTTTCCGTCAACAGATTTTGATAATAAGTCTTCCAATCCTCGATCGGAATATTATTCGTCCCTGCAGTATCTTTATGTTGCCTTCGCATTCCGTTGATAATTCTCCATGCTTTATTTGCTTTTGTGTTTCCAGCTTCTAAGTTGACTTCTTGGCGTCTTTCTTCCCAGCACTCATTCTTTGCTTTTATTATTTCCTTCTGTACACTTCTGTTCTTGTCATTATAAATTAGTCTGTCTTGAGTGCTCTGTGTACTTAACCATTTCCCATAAGCAGCCTTCTTTTCATCTACAATCTTTCCTAGGTCTTCACTCCACCAAGGTGTATCTTTTCTGTATCTCGTGGAGACTATTTTCTCTCCAAGAGCCTCATTTGTGGCTTCATGTATGCACGTTTTCAGACTTTCGTACATATCATTTGGAGATCCTTGTCCTATTCTGTTTAATTTCGTGGCTAGTCTCATCTGGTACAAGAATTTAGTTGAGTCATTTCTCAAACTTTCGATATTATACTTGACGTTACTTAATGGAGTTACATTTTTCTCAGGCAATTCATTTGATTGCATTTTTTGTTTGTAGGGAAAATAAGATTTTGCTACTACCAAGAAATGATCAGTACCATATTCTGGGCCACGCATGACTCTGACATCCGAAATTTTCAGTTGAGTATTCTGCCTAACAATTATATAATCAATTAATGATTTTAGATTTCGTGTGGGTTGCATCCATGTATATTTGTGGATATCTTTATGTGGAAACCATCCATTAGCAATCCTGAGTGCCTGTTGTTCGCATAAGTGAATAAGTCTTTCACCATTATTATTTACAATATGTTCTCCGTAGCATCCTACTAGTGGGTCATTTAATTTAAAACCTGTTCTGCCATTTAAGTCACCAATTAGAATCACCTCCTTTCGACTTCCAATCTTTTCCAAGGCTGTCGTCAAATCAAAAAAGAACGTGTCCTTCTCGGCGGCTGGGGCGTCGTCAGTTGGGGCATAGGCTGCTATAACTACCAAAGAATGATTTCTCACATCAACATCCACCTGCAAAAGTCTGTGGTTGATTTGGTCCCAAGATTTTATAAATTTCTTATATTTCTTCCTAATTGCTAGTGATACTCCACCGCGGGCTCGCTCCCCTTTTGGTACACCACTGTATATATGCACATATCCATCCTTCTCTTCTGTACCTTTCCCTTTTTTCTTAGTCTCGGTTAGAGCTATTATGTCCATATCGTACCGTTCCATTTCTTTAAATACTTCTTTCTTTGTTGCTATCCCTTGAATATTCCATGTTCCTATTCGTAAAGTCCGTTTCATTGCCAATTTTCGTCTACGTTTCTGACAGTCCGGGTCCGAGGCTTTGTTGAGAAATTTTGCGTTTTTTGAATTTTTATAAGTGATGGGCTGCAGACCCAACGCCTTAACACCCTACTAGGAGGACCAGGTAATTTTATGTCAGAGTGTTCTTCCCTTAAACTGGGTGTCCTTCAAGACTCAAGAGACCAATTTTCCCTGCTGCTTATACATTATCCCTAAAGCTGGGTAGCCACTTCCGCCAAATCCGCCGTACTGAGGTCCATCCTCTCCGCCTTCTTCGCCGTTGTGGTCTTCGACCGTAACCCTGGCCAGGGGGAAGCCTTATACCCCGCAACATTGGGTCCCCGACAGGACTTAGCCACCGATTTCGTGAAATCGGACTCACCCCCGCGACATGGACGCGCCTGTCAAGATGTCAAGTGGATTCAGAGAAGGACACTCTGGTTTCCCTTAGACCGGGTTAATGCTTATGTATGATTCCACAAGACAAAGGCTTCATTATATATATTTTGTTTTTAATTTTTACGTATGTTATGTTATTCAAAATCAAAGAAGCGATTGCCATACATTACTAACATCTACAGATGATGCATAAGCAATACATTTATTTTTATTAGATTATATTAAAAAAGCCTCTTTTATTTTTCTTTTAGAAGCTATCGCTTCTTTCATTATAATTTTGGCGTTGTTTGGTGTGAAAATCTATTCTGTGCCCTGTATCCCATGAATGCTGACAAAACTTAGATTTGTGAAAGTTGCCCTTTCTTAAATAATCTTTATGTTCTTTAATTCGAACATTATTTAACGGTCTAGACGTTTCACTAATATAAAATTTATCACATGGTATTTTGTATATTAAATTTGTCTAACAACGTCGACGGTTTATGTAGACGTATCTGTTTTAAAGAACTGAAGTGTTCTCGAATAGTTGCATTTAGATATTTTAAATATTTTTTATCTTTGTTTTTTGTGTTTTTTTTTTGCTTCCGACGACGAAAAGAGATATACTTTCCGAAACGTTAAGCATTTTTTTATCCGTTAGGCAAATTTGTTTATTAGTAGAACACTGCTGACAATTAGTCTCCGTTGGATAAACGCAGCAGTATTTACAAAAAATAACTATTTTATTTTGTATATTTTCCTATAGTGGCGAAATACCCACGGGGCCATTTTCACGTGTTTTACAGAGGTTTTCGTTTACAAGTAGAGACACAAGGATGCGGTTTTCATATCACTGAGCTACTTTTTTATGAAAGTAAGGATGCAACACACCGATAGGTCCTAGCCCTCTTAGTTCCTGAAATACAGAGCGAATTTGAAAATTTTGCATTTTTCGACCCCTTCATACCTCGGTCATCTTATAAGTTATCGGAAAGGTGAAAACTGAGCCCGATATAGTTTTTCACGTAGAATTCTTTGGCTAACTAGATTTTCGCTGAAAGCTGTCATTCTTGAAATATAACCCAAACCTATTTTATTTTTTAAATGGAATACCCTATACATTATTTTTTTTATTTATTTGCCTTGTTATGAGCTTTCCAAAAATATAATATACCCTATACTTATTTTCATAAACAATGTAAAAACGCATTATTTACCTTTTTAACATAGGCGGCCGGTATAATTTAGGTAATCAAAACAAGCCAGTAATTTATTTGACGTCAAATTTTAGTTATTGGCTACTCCATGCTAGTTCCTGTGTATAGAATTATTGCACAAGTCAAAAATATCAATAACTCTGGCAGGCTGTTATCTAAAGGATGCAGAAGTTCATTTTCAGTGCACTTTATAAGATAGCACAATGGAAAGCAAAGTTATCT